CTGCACATAAGTTGAGAGCTAAAGTGGCAAAGAAAGAGATAGCTACCTTTGCTGCTGGCTGCTTTTGGTATGTCTTCTAAGATCTATATTTATTGCTTTATTTCCCTAATACTTGTGACTCAAAAAATAGGGGAGTTGAACACATTTTCCGTAAACATTTTAAAAATATTCAAACACAAGTTGGTTATACTGGCGGAACAACAAGCAATCCAGACTACAGACAGGCGAGTTTTCTTCTAAGATTAATATCATTTTATGGTAACTTCTGATATAATTATATTTATTTCTTCCTAAAGGTTTGCTCCAAAACAACGGGGCATGCAGAGGCCTGCAGAATCGAATTCGATCTGGAAAACGTTTCGTATGCCACATTAGTTGAATTCTTTTACAAGACCCACGATCCGACAACTTTAAATAAACAGGGACATGATGTTGGAAATCAATACCGTTCTGCTATCTTTTATCATTCTCCTGAACAAAAAGAAATTGCTGAGCAAGTAACTAAGCAGGTTCAAGAAAAACTTGACAATAGTGAACCAGGCTCATTATATTCCGGCTCAAAAATTGTTACAGAAATTGTCGAGGCTAGTAAGTGGTATGATGCTGAAGACTATCATCAAGAGTATTTAGTGAGTATCTCATGATGGGTAGCAGAGGGAAAATTCTAAAATTAGAAATTACGCATATAATTACGGACTAAAATACCAGGGGCTAATACAAGAAAGAATACCCCGATTTATAAGTTTAAAAGATCTATATATATTTAATTAATAACGACCCCATGCTTTACACCAAGGTATTTTGCACGGGAATGGAGGTATTTTAGTCACTGTACTATCTTATGACTATGTGTAGGATAAACCCCCTCTCACTGGTTAAAAAATAATTTTCTTCTATAAAAAATCTTTGGTGCGTTATGCAACTTTTCTAGAAATTTTACAGCCTTTTGACTTACATATAAAAGGAACGTGGAGAATATTTGAAAATGTTGCATAGTATACCAAATGTTTTTTAAAGAATACATGTAGACAAGATTCATAGTTTTACCTGTGTCTAGTTTTGAATTTTAGCTTTGCTATGGTAGAGGTTCGAAAGGTCTATATGTTTAATATATTCTGATTCATTTTTATTTTTTTTAGACCAACAACCCAAGTGGATATCAGGTGAGAACAATTAAATTATATTTAAATACTGAATTGTATATGAGTGTCTCCAGGTGAAAACCAGAAGTCTAAATATGGGGGTGAGTCAATAAAAATCAAGTAAATTGTTTTTATTGAAATTTTTTTGAAACTTTAAACAACAATAACTCAACACAAACTTAATCAAACTTAATACATTTTTTAAAAAATGAATTCTACAAACTTGTAGCATTTATTTTAAAAGATTTTATTAAATTTGATAAAGTTTTGTTAAGTTATCTTTGTTTAAGTTTCAAAAAAATTTACTTAGAAAAAATTTGCTTGATTTCTATTGACTCAACCCCATATATAAACTAGATTAGGCTATGTTTATCAAACAATCATTGTGAACATATGAACAATAAATCAAACCTAAAAATTGGCTAACAGACAGACCTTTTATTCAACAGTATAGTTCTTTAGGTAATAATAGTAATCTATATTTAGACTTCCTGGTTTTTACTTGGCGGTATTCAATTGTTTTTATGAAAGATCGAAATACTGACAAGAAAACAATTTTACTAGTGTCATACTCATTATGTTAGATGGTGAAGTTTTATTACCAAAATATGGTATCTTGAATTATTTTTAATCATTTTTTATTAAATTATTTTATCAATTTTAAATCATATGGATATTGTAGCAACTTATAATGTTGAAATTTGAAGTTCCACATATACCCTTATATTAGTAACTCTAATCTAAATTTAATTTTGAAAAAAGGCTATGAGCTCCAAAAATTTTTTAAAATTTCATAATAAAATATAATTTGATTTGAGTTATTAGATTGATATCATGGAAAGATTTCAAGGAAGATAATTTTCCTTATATGAAGAATTTCAGTTTGCGAAAAATGCTGAGATATTAAGTCATCAGGAAATTTTTAAAAAAGATTAATATCGATTACAAACTACAGAGTAATTGTAATCGATTGCAATCACTTGAAAAAAGCGATTATTATCGATTATTTATTGATTATAATCATTTTTTTTAAATGATTGCAAACGATTATAATCGATATAAATCGATTACAATTACCCTGTAGCTTGTAATCGATTTTAATCTTTTTTAAAAATTTCTTGATGTAATAGACTGCTTGAATAATAAAGCGTCATTTTTAATGTTTAAAAAGGTTTTGCAGCATATCGGATTGAATTCAAATTTTTTGTTTTTTTTTTAATTTATACAATTTACTGGTTTAGAAGTATGGTGTGCATATCTCAATCATAGTAACAAAATCAGACTTATTACTTCATAGCTATGAAATTAGACATTTGACTCAATATTACTTACTTATTTGCCACCCAAACTTGCAATAAATAAAGATACCATTTTAGTAGATGGAATGTTGGAACATTGCATAGAATGTTGAGATTGATAAAAAGTGGAATTTAACGCTAAGGATTTCCACAGAATTAAGATGTGGTGATGCATAATGGCATTATATATTACCTGGGATCTTGATTATCAATGTTTAATAAAATAGCACGCGGCATATTTTAACTCATTAAAACGGAATTTACAAATAAGGGCCCGGAAAGTGAAAATAATTACAAATACGGGCCAAATTAAAAATAATTACATAAAAAGGCCTAATTTTTAAAAAAATATTACATATAAAGGCCTAAAATAACAATAACATTATTCAAATCTATGGTTTGATCGTTATTAGCATAAGAAATATAGGCCATATCATCACTTCTGATACATCATATTTTATAAAATAAATTAAAAAGCTTATTAATAATATTAAACCTATTGATTGTTATTTTAAACTATACTTTTAGAATTATATATACTATAATATAGGTTGTATTATCACTTCTGATACATCATATTTTATAAAATAAATTAAAAAGCTTATTAATAATATTAAATCTAATAACTGTT